TGAGTAGAAAGTATGTCCTTTGGTGCTTGGGTGGAATACTCTGTAGATGTCAAGTCCATTTGATATATGGCATTATTTAATTCAGATGTCTCTCTGTTAACTCTCTGCCCTGTTGACCTGTCTAATGGAGACAGTGGGATATTGAAGTCCCCTACTATTAATGAGTTGGGATTAACCTGGGTCTTAAAGTACAGTAGTATTATTTTTATGAAATTGGGTGCACCAGAGTTTGGTGAATATATGTTCATGATTGTAATATCTTCTTGATTTATTGTTCATTTGATCAGAATTAATTGGCCCTCTTTATCTCTTCTGATTAGTGTTAAAGTCAATTTTGTCAGATAGTAGAATTGCTACACCTGCTTTTTTCTTAGTACCATTTGCTTGGTATATTTTTTTCCATCCTTTCACTTTAAGATAATGTCTGTCCTTGAAAGTGAGATGAGTTTTTTGCAGACAACAAAAAGATGGGTTTTGTTTCTTAATCCATTCACCTAGTCTGTGTCTTTTGACTCGGGATTTCAGTCCATTAATATTTAAAGTTATTAATTTAAGATGAGTATTGAATCCTGTCATTTTTATTTCTGTTTACATTTGTGGTTTAGCTGTACTTTTCCACAGTTATACCTTCACTAAATTTCTTTCCGCAACACCATTCTGTTCTTTAGCTCTTTGTATTGCTTCCAGAACTCTCTGAAGGGCTGGTTTTGTGGACATGAATTCCTTCAGCCTATTTATGTCATAGAAGATTTTTCTTTCCCCTTTGACTATAATAGACATTTTGGCTGGGTATAGTAATCTGGGTTGGCATCTGTCGTCTTGTAAAACTGGGAATACTTTGGTCCAGGCTCTTCTGGTTTTCATAGTTTGTGCTGAAAAATCAGCAGTAATCCTAATGAGTTTTCCTTTGTATGTGACTTGTTTCTCTTTTGCAGCTTTCAGAATTTTCTCTTTGTTTTGTGCATGTAATGTTTCTACTATGATGTGCCGTGGAGAGTTCCTGTTCTGGTCCTGTCTGTTTGGTGTTCTGTATGCTTCTTGTATTTGTATGGGCATGTCTTTCTTTAATTTTGGGAAATTTTCTTCCACAATTCTGTTGAAGATCTGGTCCATGCCATTATCTTGGGATTCTTCTCCTTCCTGTATGTCTATGATTCGTAAATTTGGTCTCTAATGTTGTCACACAATTCCTGCATATTCCATTCTTGTGATTTCTTAAATTTTTCATAATCTTTGCTTGAGTGGTCTAGTTCATCCACTTTATCTTCTAGTCTTGACACTCTGTTTTCCATTTCATTCATCCTATTGGTGAGGCTTTCTCTTGTCATTTCTAATTGGCTTACTGAGTGTTTCACTTCCTTCTTCATTTCAGCCTGAGTAGTCTTCAATATTTCTAAACTTTTCTCAATTCATTCAGAAGTTTATCCCTATCTTCCTTCAGCCTTTTGATCTCTTTGTGTGTTCTTTCAATTCACTGAATTCTTTTATCATGTTTATAATTGTTCTTTTGAGTTCCATGTCCTGCATTATCTCTAGGATGTTCTCATTGTACTCCTTTAGAGGACTATTAGTATTTGGTGGGGATATGTTATTTTGGTTTTTCTTGTTACTATTTTTTCTCTGTAATTCTGACATGTGAATTTCTATTGTAGTTTCTAATTCTTGTGTGAGACTCAAGCTTTCAAGTTTAGGTTCGCTTCTTTTTGTAAACTTTATGTGTCTTTGTGGTTTACTTTTTGGGCATGAAATGCTGGTTCATCTAAGCTTCCAGTTCTCTCTTTTGATTTTATTTTGGATTGGCCAGATTTCCTTTGTCTTCAGGATTTCCCACAGAGGCCCAAGTCAGATGAGGATCAGGTGCTCTCAGACTTTCTCCTAAGGTCTGGATCCGTCCAGGAAAGATTTTGGCCTCAGGAATTTGGGTGTTGAACTGGCCTGGGAGCAGGGCACAGGAAAGATGCTGGTCTAGGGCAGCTGGTGGCCATGCCACCCAGAGATGCAAAGGATGATGGGGGCGGGAGGGGACCCCAAGGGCCCCTGTGTACTGCACAGAGGAGCTGGATTGGTTTGGATGCAAAGGACCAGGAAGAGGAAAAGTCAGCCCCGGCATCCAGGCAAGAGGCTGGCCGGTTGTGTAGACCCAGGGAAGCAGAGGGAGGTGAGGTGGGGCCAGCCCAGAGTGCCCCTGGGGACCTGAGAAGGAACTGAGTTGGTTTGGATGCAAAGGATCAAGAAGCAGCAGTTGTGGTTCCCCAGGTGTCTGGGGTGCCAAGACAAAGGAATGGGACACCCCTCAGGCTAGGAGGAGAGACCTGCGGGAGAGATGTGAGGGTGAACAAGGCTCGGTGAGTCAAAGCGCAGAGGAAGCAATGGACTTACCTGGAGAGAGAGGCCTGTGCTTCGCGGAGAGGCCTGTGGGTCCTGCAGGCCCGGGGAAGCAGAGGGAGGTGAGGGCGGGTCCAGGCCCAGAAGCAGTGCTCCTGGGGACCCGAGAAGGAACTGAGTTGCTCTGGCTGGAAAGGATCAGGAAGCAGTGGTGGTTCCCCATGTGTCTGGGGTCCAAGACAAGGAATGGGACAGGACCCAGTCTAGGAGGAAAGACTGGTGGGGGAGATGGGAGGGTGAGTGAGGCTGGGGGAGTCAAGGTGGGGAGGGCGTGATAGAATTACCTTGGAGAGAGAGGCCTGCAGGTCAGAGAGAGGTCTGCGGGTCGTGCAGGCCCCAGGGAAGCAGAGCTTTAAAAGAATATTTTAACTGATCCACTTATTAAAATTATGTCACCCATATGGAAGGGCAGTTGTGTGACATGATTGTTTGTATGCTGCTTTGATGTTCTGTGTTAAAAGGACTTAAAAATACTTAAATATTCATTTTTCAGACATATCAATGAGGATAAAAGAAAAACAGAAGCACAAAAGCAAATTTTTGATGTTGTTTACGAAGTAGATGGGTGCCCAGTAAGTATTTTTTGATGGTTACCAAGTTATTGTCTCTTTTCATGAAGTTTCTATGGTTTTGTTGTAAACAGCCTTGGGCTGGAGAGGTGGCTCAGTGGTTAAGAATGCTTGCTGCTTCTCCAGAGGAAGAGCACCCACTTTAGGCAGCTTGCAGCTCCTGTGACTTCTGCTCCAGGGGATCTGCTGCCCTCTTCTGGCCTTCAACAGCACCTGCACGTGTGTGCGCACACAAAAAGAAATCATTTGAATGTTGGCTTCTAAAAATTACTCAATAGTACGTGATCTTTTATTGATGTTTTCGCTCTCTACAGGCTAATCTTTTGTCATCTCACCGAAGCCTCGTGCAAAGAGTGGAAACAGTTTCTCTCGGCGAGCAGCCCTGTGACAGAGGAGAGCAAGTCACTCTCTTCCTTTTCAATGACTGCCTTGAGGTAAGTGTGTGCTCACCTCACTGTAGCTGAACACTGAAGAGTGTGTGACTTTCCCAAATATTTAACACCAAGCCTCGATTGATGTGATTGTAGAAGTTTGAAGTAAATTCTATTACTTTGAAAAACCGAGACCAGTTGTTGATTTCATGCAGTAGAAGTATTTTGGGAGGCAGTCTAATATTGATGATAAATGACCTTGACTCAAATATAAGTCAGAATTCTTGTAATTAACTGCTTAGGTCCAGAATTTTAGGAACTTTTATTTATTCAAGATTTACAAAATAATTACGAGTTCTTTTTGAAGTATAAGTAGTATTTTTCAGCCAAGATGAAGTCAGTTGAAGAGATAACTTGATAACTTAATATTGTAAACTCCTTACGATGCCTTGAGTTCTTCTTTTTGTGTTTTGAGACAGGGTTTCATTCTAGTCCAGGCTAGTCTCAAGGTAATCAATCCTCCAGCCTCAGCCTCAGCCTAAGCCTCCTGGGCTCCGAGATTGCAAACATGAGCCATTATGCCCAGTTAGATTCTTCTTTAAATTAGCAGATTTTATTGTTCCAGTGTATCAGATGAGATGTAGGGATTTTAATTCCTAAACTCTCTTCCCTCCATTTCAATATTTTCTTTCTACAACACCCCATGGGCAAATTGTTAAGTGTATTTTACATTTAAGCAGTCTCTTGAGATAGAAAGATGTTCACCTTCCTTTCTCAAAAGTGTTAATTTAAAAACAAACTATATTACTTTTATGTGTATGAGTGAATTGCCTGCATGTTTGTATGTGCACCCAAGTTGTGCAGTGCCCAAGGAGTTCAGAAGAAGGCGTCGGAACTCCTGGAACTGGAGTTACAGGTGATTGTTAGCTGCCTATCGGGTGCTGGAACCAAACTTGGGTCCTCTGCAAAAGCAACCAGTTCTCTTAACTGCTGAGCCAGCTCTCCAGGCCGAGAAAAGTTTTAATTTTGACAGAACACATTGACAAGACCCATTTGACACTTCTGGTACTGGATGGGGTTATGTTGGTACCGTCACAGTAATGGCTGGTTTCCCTTTCCTGTGGAGTCTGTCCATTCCCTTTGCCTTCTGTTGACGTGCTGCCCATTTATATCATGTACATTGTTGAAGTAGAAAATATGAGGGACTCTTAGAATAAAAGGCATGCGCAGAGCAGTTAGGGTACAATAAAATCTCAAAAATTTACTTGTGTTAAAGGCAGAATCTTGTACTTAGAAGTTAATAAAAAAATTTTCATTTGGCCAGTAGTCTTAAAGAGGCACAAAACAGCAGTGAAAATATGATATGTGATTGACCACGTCCTGAAGTGAAAAAATGCAGAAGCCATGCAGATGATCGTGAACACCTGACTCCTGCAGTCAGAACCTCCCCTTTCCCTGCCAGGGTCTGGCTCAGCCTTGCTTATCTGAACTTGCCTCATCACGGTCTTTGCTGTTCAGTCTGACTGCCTTTCTTTCCGTTTGCCTCTCCAGTCTCCTTTAGGGTTTTCCATTGAGAGCTCCAGGTCTGCCGGCCCCTCTCATCCTTTGTCTTGGGTCACTTGAACTTCCTTACCCTGTTTCTGGTGGAGCAGTGACTTACTCTGACTTATAAAAGTCTGATATCCCCTTCCAAGTCTGTCCTAAGTGGCTCACTGACTTCCCTTCCACTTTAGTTCTTGATGTGGCCATGCCCTGTAGCTTCCAAGTCCTGGCCTCTGCATTCCATTACCTTCCGGAGTCTAGTGGTTTCTGCTGTCCTTCCTCCTGGCCTGTGCCGCCATTATTTCAGTAAACGCTGCTCTGTTCTTTTATTTCTTGATTGAGTCCAGTAGGGCCTTGAACTTGTGATCCCTTTGCCTTGTCCTCTTGCTCTTGATTAGCTGATGTGGATGTGCATCCACAAGCAGCTGCTTTTGAGACGGGATCTCCCTCTGTAGCTGTGGTTGGTTTTGAATGGCCTGAGCCTCTCCAGTTCTCGGGTCATTGTGCCTGTTGGAACTGCTGTTTCTATAACATTGAGTTTCGCCTTGATTCAAAATCCTAAGTAGCCCCTTATTCTCTAATGTATTTAAAAAAATAGAACTTTCAGCAAGTTTGGAATGAAAAATATTAAAGTATTAAATATTTAAAAAGTCTCAATACTACATGATAAAATCCTATACCAATTACTTTTTTTTTTTTTTTTTGGTATTTTTGAGACAGGTCTCCCTGTAGCCCCAGCTGGCCTGGAACTTTACGGAGTCCAGGCTGGCCTTGAACTCACAGAGATATGCCTGCCTCTGCCTCCCAAGTGCTGGGACTAAAGGCTGAGCCACCATGCCTTCCTTACTTTTTTTTTGTTTTTTGGAGGAGATGTCTCTGTCTCCTGAGTGCTGGGATTAAAGGTGTGCTGCCAGGCCTGACCCAAGCATCACTCTTAACAATTGATATATTAGAAGTCTAAATATGAATAAAATCTATACAGTCTTTTTAATATGATAGATACTATATACTTTATCTGTGCTTTGGAGTTTTTGTGTTTTACCTTGATTCACGAACATGCCATCAATTTTAACTTTGTTTTTCCTTTTGAAAACTAAACCTTAAAATTATTTTATTCAGCCAAATAAGCAGCCTAGTCATATATTCAGAGGAATTATTTTGAGAGTCTCTTGCTTATTTTCACTGTGTTTGTGTAAATGAACTTTAATATTTGCTGTGTGTACTTGATACGTAGAACAGACATATACGCAGAGTTTCATACTCTGTGTCAGTGTGAACATGACACAGCCAGATTATGTCATATTTATGATTATTAATCTCAATTCAATAAGATCATTTTATATTAATATAATAATGCCTTTCAGTAAAATCTATGCTAGTGCACGGAGATACCATCTCCTGCTTTTTTCTCCACACTTCAGTCTGTCATGAATCATAAGATCCTTTCTGATTTTGCTCTTCTCCAGTGTTTCCTATCTTCCTTTTGCATGAGTGTCCAGTTAAGGTAAAGTTGTAGCCTGATACAGCACTTTGAATTTATAATGTGTATTATTCTGTGTGTGTGTGTTGTTGCCATTTGTGTTTTGAGACAAGAGTCTCACTGTGTAGCTGATGCTAGCCTAGAGGTCTTGATGTACCACAGGTTGGCCTTGAAGTGGAGATCCTCCTGCATCAGCCTCTCTAGTGCTGCATTATAGGTGTGGGCAAGCGCATCCAACTGTATTATTAAATTTTTTTTTCTTTTTCCTTTTTTGTCTTTTTGAGATAGGGTCTCCGTACAGGTGTGGGCCAGCACATCCAACTGTATTATTAATTTTTTTTTCTTTCCTTTTTTGTCTTTTTGAGATAGGATCTCCATATAGCCCCAGCTGGCCTGGAACTTGCTATGTAGACCAAGCTGATGAACTCACAGAGATCCTCTGCCTCTGCCTCCCAAGTGCTGAGATTAAAAGCGTGGACCACCATGCCTATTTAATGTTTTAATACTTCCCTTTGTTAGTAATATGTAAATAATCTTGAGAACAGGAACTGTTTCTGTTACTTCCTCTGTACTGTTCAATCACTGAAAGGAGATATTTTAAATATTTCTCTTAAGCTAAAATTGACACCACTTTGAACCCAAGACAGTGATCCCAGAACAACTCTCCCCTTCTGAGCCCCAGACCTTTTCTTCAGGACGCCTCCCTATGGTCCTGTGGCTTCTGGCACTGCTCCTGCGTCTTTTCCAACCCCTGAGACTGCTTGCTTACACCCTGTCTCTTGGCCAGTTTTTCTGACTCGTGAGCTTTCCTAATCTAAACATGAGTATATGCGCTGCACAATTCCATGTGTGCTTTTGTCACGGTCCTCTGCTTCTACCGCATGGTAACTGGAATGGCTGATCATCAGATTAGTTGCCTATTGATTTATGTGGTTAGTGCTGTTAATTTTAAATATGTAAATTTTGTTTTTATCACAATGACTCTGACTTTTGTTTTCTACAATCAGATAGCAAGAAAACGACATAAGGTTATCGGCACTTTTAGAAGTCCTCATGGCCACACCAGACCCCCGGCTTCTCTGAAGCATATCCACCTGATGCCTCTTTCTCAGATTAAGAAAGTGCTGGACATAAGGGAAACAGAAGGTAAGCTCATCTGTCGGATCAACTGTTTGCTAAATAGAAAAGGCTTGTACTTACTGCGAGTTTAATTTACTACTGTGTGGTTTTTTTTGTTGTTGTTTGTTTTTTTGAGGCAGGGTCTGGTCTTCCTATAGAACCAGCTGGCCTAGAACTCACTATGTAGACCAGGCTGGCCTCATCCTCATAGAGATCTACCTGTCTCTGCCTCCCAAGTGCTGGGATTAAAGGGCATGCCAGCATGGTTCTTTTTAATGGATAAATTCTCCTTATGTGTGACTCATCTGTCTGAAGGTATTGCTCTTATACCTCCATCGCAGCTCCATTGCTAGACACAGACTTGGTGTCTTCATTGCTTCAGATAAAAGTGTCACCTCAGCCTTGGCGCTTGAGTGTCAAAGGGCCTTTAATGGTTGTGCACTAAAATAGCATCACCTGTCTCATTCCCACATGGGAACTTTTATTTCTTCAGAATACAGAAGAAATCAGTAGTCTTGTCACTTGTACCCCATATTTTAATATCTTCTCTTGCCAGTAGCTGTAATTTAGGGATATCTTTGAGATGTACATTCAGGTGGGGATGTATGTGTGGGTGGTGGTGAGGAGGCTCAGCAGGTAAATGTGCTGCCACCAAGCCCAACAGCCTGAGTTCAGTGTCCAGGACCCACAGTGTGGAAGGAGGGAATCAGTTCCCACGAGCTGTGTTCTCTCTCCTTCTCTCTCTCTCCCTCCCTCCCTCCCTCCACCCCCCCCCATCTCTCATGCACACTCACACTCAAGCACACATACACTTAACCACACACATAATCAATGTTAGAAGATACAGATGAGGAGTACGTGAGATCAGCAGCCCACAGTGCCAGCATCAGGGCACTTGTATATGTCTCTTTCTGACAAAATACCTGAGCTGATCTTTGTACAGAGGACACATCTGGCTGATAGTCTGAAAGGTTCAGCACCTTTCCCACTGGTCTCATTGCTGGCTTTGGTGAGGTCACCCATCATGGCTGGTAAGAGGAGGTCAGGGTGCCCCAGGGCGCTTAAGGTGTGTCCTCAATGATGTAAAACCTCAGGTAGTGCCTGGTGACTGAGCCTTAATGCACAGCACTTTGTGGGATATTCCTAATTGAAACTACAGCACCATGCTAAGTTTTTCCTTTCAACTTTGCTAGTGTTCCAGTGAGTTCTCTGAAAGTCTGAAACTACCCAAAATGGATAGTTTCCCAAAGCAGTATCATCCGTTTAATTAGCATTTAGTGATGTATGTTTAAATCAAATAAGCTCTTCGATCTATTCCTCTACTAATGGAAGATTTGAGTAGTCAGGCATGATTCTTTCCTTTTCTTTTTCGTGTGTGCGCGCGCTGGCTTTGGTGAGGTCACCCATCATGGCTGGTAAGAGGAGGTCAGGGTGCCCCAGGGCGCTTAAGGTGTGTCCTCAATGATGTAAAACCTCAGGTAGTGCCTGGTGACTGAGCCTTAATGCACAGCACTTTGTGGGATATTCCTAATTGAAACTACAGCACCATGCTAAGTTTTTCCTTTCAACTTTGCTAGTGTTCCAGTGAGTTCTCTGAAAGTCTGAAACTACCCAAAATGGATAGTTTCCCAAAGCAGTATCATCCGTTTAATTAGCATTTAGTGATGTATGTTTAAATCAAATAAGCTCTTCGATCTATTCCTCTACTAATGGAAGATTTGAGTAGTCAGGCATGATTCTTTCCTTTTCTTTTTCGTGTGTGCGCGCGCGTGTGTGTGTGTGTGCGGGCATGTGCAAGTGTTACTGGTGATCATACCCAGGGCTTTGTTCAAGCTTGTCAAACACTGTACCACTGAACCAGCCCAGGAATGTTATGATTTATAAAACTTGCACAGCTATGGGGCTGGATAGATGGCTCAGTGATTAAGAGCACTGGCTGTTTTTGCAGAAGACCTGGGTTCCAAGCCCAGCACCCCCCAAAAGACACCCCCCCAAAAAAAAAGATAAAAAGAAAAATAGAACTCTCAGCAAATTTGGAATGAAAAATACTAATATTAAAAACATAATCTTAAAATTAATACTACATGATAAAATTTTATGTCATTTACCTTTTTTGGCAGCTAAAAACTGTCCTTAAAGTCCAGTCCCAGGGAATCTGATGCCCTCTTTGATTGCTTCAGCTGTTGCATGACACGGGTACACTTACATACATGTAGACAATACATTCCTACACATAATAAAATAAAAATAATAAAACTTGCACAGCTATTTTTATCCAGTTGTCAAAATCTAGGTTTATGAATATCTGCCCTGGGACATTTATTTAAATCATCTCCGTTTCAGGGAAGTTGCAAAAGAGCTCACAGTAAGAGTGACCTTTAAGATACAGATGAGCCGGTGAGATAGCTTTGTAGGTAAAGGTGCTTGCCACCAAACCTGACAACCCGAGTTCAGTCCCCTGGACTCATGTGGTGGAAGGAGAGAGATGACCCCCAGAGTCATCCTCTGACCTCATGCTGGTAGCAACCTCTCTTCAGCTTTAAATTTTTGTATTATTTATTTTTGTAACTTAATGTCTTTATTTTTTTGATTTATTTGTTTTCATTTTATGTGTTTGAGTAACATTTTGCTTGCATGTGTGTAAGTACACGTGTGTGCATTGCCTGTGGAGGGCAGAGAGGGTGTTGAATGCCCTGGAACTGGATTAAGGACTGTTAGCCTCCATTAAAATTTTTTTGTTTTATTTTTACTAGCTTTTAAAAATAGATTCTGTTCTAACACCTTGATTGCAATGCGTTTATTTTCCAGTGTTTTTACATTTATTTCTTTGTGATTTATGCAAGTTGCTAGAAGCTTATGTCATTCTAATTTGGAACCTTAAATACTAGAATTCTAAAAAATAATATCTTTTTTATTAGATTATCATAGAAGATGTTAAACATCACAGAAAGTACTGTTATATAGGGTTTTCAGGCTATTTGCTCCTTATACAGCACGTGCTATCGCAGTTCTTTCCAGTGCTCTGACTTTCATGGTGATGCTCTTTTTAATTGAAAAAAAGGAGGACGGGGAGAAGAGATAGTCAATTTTGTTGGAAGTTTGGATCTCTGAAGAGAGGAGGGTTGTACGTGAAGGAATAACACTGCTTATGGCTATTCTGGAACCCTAGATTGCCGGAATGCTTTTGCTTTGCTTGTGAGGCCACCCACCGAGCAGGCCAACGTCCTGCTCAGCTTCCAGATGACGTCAGATGAGCTTCCCAAAGAAAACTGGCTGAAGATGCTGTGTCGACATGTGGCCAACACCATTTGTAAAGCAGATGCTGTAAGTCCCTAAACCTATGCTTGGATGAAAGTGTGAACTCCACGGGAGTGAGTTGTTAATTGTGGATGGAGGAGTGTTCTTATAGGTTCACGTATATGCAGAAAAACTTAAGTTTTTTACAAGTTTACACATGGATTCCTTGAGTGACTCACAGATCATCCTTCCATTTTTTCTAGCTCCTGTGGCTCCAATTTAGTGAGGTTTTGGGGACTTACTGTTATGAACCATGTGGTTTTTTTTTTTTTTTTTTTTTTCTAGGCACTTTTTCTTTTAATTAAAGAATTTAATCCATCTATATTTAAGATAATTTTGTATGCGTATGGTCGTAATATAACCGGTTTTGTAACTTGTTTTCTAATTTTATTCCTTTGTCCTTCTCATTCTCTTACTGTGTCTGGGTTAAGGGATTTACTGTGGTATTGTGCTTCAATTACTTCCTTGATTTTGGTTTGTTTGCTATAGAGTTTAGCTTTATGGTCACTGTGAATGAGACAAACTTTTTGGTTATAACAAGCTATTTTGAAAGGTTACCAATTTAATGTCAATGTAAAGATGAAAACAAACATAATGACAAAAAATGAAATATACTAATACACTAATGAAACAGCTCTACGTATTCGCCATTCCTCCTCACATTTGGAATATTTAAAATTATATGTATGTGTATATCTGTATATATACACATACATATATAATTTATGTTTTGGGTTTTTTGTTTTGTTTTGTTTTTTTGAGACAGGGTCTCCCTGTAATCCCAACTGGCCTGGAACTCACGATGGAGACCAGGCTGACAAGAGATCCACCTGCCTCTGCCTCCCAAGTGCTGGGATTAAAGGTGTGCACTACCACGCCCAGCCCTATGTTTTAGTTTTTTGAGCCAGGGTCTCCCTGTAGCTCCAACTGGCATGTTACTCTCTAGACAAGAGATCCACCTGCCTCTGCTGGGATTAAAGGCATGCACCAGCATGCTCGGATTATGTCTGTCCTAATGCAGCTTCCACTTGCCTCTAGATGCTCCATTGTAAAGGGAGCCATCAATGTAGTACTAGAGGTGGCTTGTATGGGTTGCTTGCAATTTCCCTGTAGCCACAACAGACCTGGATTCACTATGGAGACCAGGCTTGCCTTGAACTCACAGAGATTTGCCTGTCTCTGCTGGGATTAAAGGCGTGCCCCACCATGCCTGGCTTGTTTTTATTTTTTATGTATATGAGTGTTTTGCCTGTATGTGTGTAAGTGCACCTGTGTCATGCAATGCCTGCAGAAGAAGAAGGCGTCGGATCCCCTGGAACTGGAGTTATAGGCAGCTGTTAGAAGCCATGTGGGTGCTGGGAATTGAACCCATGTCCCTCTGCAAGAGCAGTCAGTGCTCTTAACTGCTGAGACATCTGTCCAGCCCTTGTTTCATGTTTTAAAAGAATATTAATGACCAAGATGTGTTGTTATAAGTAAAGGGTTGTTTATTTAAACAGGCTTGTAGAGAAAACCCAGTGTTAGGTGAAGCCAGCAAAATTCTGGCAAGAAAAATAGAAAGGACAGCTTTTGTAGGAAGCAGACGTACTTACAAGGACGAGTTTCTTCGTGGTTATGCATGGATACCATAGCTTCCTTGTGGCATCATGAGTCAGTGTGTGTGGCTGTGAGACAGGATAACTTACGGTCCTTCCCAAATGCAGTGTCTAATACTGAAATGCAAGTTCATGGAAATGTAAGCAACAAATGCAAAGCTTCCCAAAGTGTAATGATCCACAAGGTGGCAGCAAATGTTTACCTACAGAACTAGTTCTGCGAACACCACAGAACTATTTCAGTCTGTTGAAATTTGCTCTTAGAATTATGCTAATACTCAGTGACTTCAGTTAAGCCCTCTCCTGCATTTAGGATTTCACACATACTAAAATTTTGAAAGTCCTTAGTTAATGTTATATTTGAGGATATGTGGTTAGTTTGAAGAAAACTTGCTTTTAAATATGTACTTACAAAAGAAAAATATGTGTGTAACATATATTTAAAAAATCCAGCTGAGCCAGATGTGGTGGCACACACCTTTAATCCCAGCATTTGGGAGGCAGAGGCAGGTGGATCTCTGTGAGTTTAAGGTAGCCTGGTCTATGTAGCAAATTCCAGGCTGGCTGGCTCAAAAAGACAAAAACAAAACCCCAGCTGCTTATTTGAATCAGTTTGTTTGTGCCCCAAATAAACGAAATTTGCTTTTTTGGTTCTTTTTGTCGGGCTGTTTATTTCGGGTGGTTTTTTTGTGGTGGTAGTGGTGGTGGTTTTGAGACCACTGTGTAGTTACGGTGCCCTGAGACTTGCCTTAGCCCCTAAGTGCTGGAATTACAATACCCAGCTTGACGCTTTGGAAGGAAGTAGTCTTCCCTGTCATAATGTCTTTTTGGCCAACAGCAGACCACATATACAGTGATGGTCCTTCCTATGAAATTCTGCTGTGCAGAGACATTGTAGCCTTGATTTGTGGATGCACCCCGAGTTGTTTGCACAGCTGTGAAACTACTTTCTATCGGGAGCAGCACAGCACTGTACCACTTATGGTACTGTATCTAAAGATAGGAAGTTAGAACCTAGTAACCATTAGCTGTAGAAAACTGAACTTCTAAAACCTTATGGCTAAGTATAAGGTGTGTGTGTTCTTTCCCATGGATTGGCAAAAGGTGTGTGTGTTCAGTTATGTTGCAAGTGCTTTTGAAATGATTGATAGGAATCTTTGACAGCTACTACAACTTTGAACTCTTAGTAGTTAAATTATACACACAGATGTGTTTTCTTTAATGCTGGGAGTTACCAATTAGAGAGTATAGAATAGAACTCTGTTTCTTATAGAACTTGTTAATGAAATATCAAGGAACAGCCTTTTAAGAAACACAAGGAAGCTATAGCTCAGTGGTGTGATGTTTGCCTAGCTTGTCCAAGACCCTGGTTTCAATGTCCAATACAGAAAAACCCAAACAACGAAATTAATACCGACAGACCTGTGATTTGGCATTCCTGAGAACACTGGTCAGTACATGGCTGTTGATTCATCTTAATGAATTTACAGAATTGTTGCTACCCTAAAAACATCCATGGAGAGAACTTACAGAATTTGACAGAATGATCCCAAAGATGATTTATGAAGAAAAACCAATGATATCTGGGAAATGTAGCAAATAGTACTATCCTACCCATATGAGATATTAAACTGTACTTAATAATGTGTTTCTTACATTTATTTAATGTTGGGGAAGAAGGTACGCATGCTATTGTGCTCCTGTGGAAGTGCAGTGATATCCCGGGGCCTAAATCAGGTTATTGGACTTGGTGACAAGTGCCTTACCCACTGAGCCATCTTGCTGGTCCAGAATTGTACTTTTAAAAGTTACCCTGATCAGACTACTATTTCATTGTTTTGACTATTTATATATAGACCAACAATAGAAAGAATAGATGGCTTTTGAAATAAGACCTGTGTAGAGTGTTAGCTACAATTCTTACTCTATGACACTGACAGAGCTGGTTAAGCACCTAGTTTTGGGGCCTGTTTTGATTTTTGCTTTTTATTCATTTTTTTTCAAGATAGGTCCCCCTGTAACCCCAGTTTGCCTGGGACTGCTTATGTAGACTAGGTTGGTCTCTATCTTATAGAGATCCTCCAACCTCTGCCTCCCAAGTGCTGGAATTGAAGGTCCTGGGTTGGTTAAGTACTTAGAAAGTTAGGTTTGGGGGCTAGAGAGATGGCTCAGTGGTTAAGAGCACTGGCTGTTCTTGCAGAAGACCCAGGTTCGAACCCCAGCACCCACATGGCCACTAACAACTGTCCATAACTCCAGTTCCAGGGTATCTTACAGCCTCGACTGTCCTCTGCCAGCATTGCATGACATGGATGCACTTACCTACATGCAGGCAATACACATACACATAAAATAAAAATAATAAAATATTTTTTAAAAAGGTTATGTCCTGTATCTTTACACATTAAGTTATAAATAGAAGGATTGAATGTGAAAAAGTGAAACGTGTCACAGAGGCTCAGGAGAACTTGTGGCATGTGTTTGTTCTCTACTTAGAGGACTTGAAAAGACAGAAGTGCCTTAAGAAAAAGATGCTCGTATGTTAATGAGAAATGTAAAACTAGAGACACATAAAAATGGGAAATATTGGCTGGGCGTGGTGGTGCACGCCTTTAATCCCAACACTTGGGAGGCAGAGGCAGGCAGATCTCTGAGTTCAAGGGGTCACCCCCATCCTTGGCTTTGTCAAATAAGTTTGTGTCTTCCAATTCTTTTTTTTTTTTTTTGTCTTTTGAGATGGTCTCCCTGCAGTCCCAGCTGGCCTGGAACTCAGAGATCCGCCTGCCTCTGCCTCCCAAGTGCTGGGACTAAAGTTGCGTGCCACCATATCCTGCAAAGACTTTATTTTTTTATGTGTGTGAGTGTATGGCCTGCATGCATGCAACTGTCATGCAATGCCTGTGGAGGTCAGAAGAGGACATCAGATCCCCTGAAACTGGAGTTAGGGTGGTGGTTAGCTGCCATGTGGGTGCTGGGTCTTCTGCAAGAGCAGCCAGTGTTGAGCCATCTCTCCAGTCCCAATATATATATCTTTTTTTGGTCTTTTTGAGACAGGGTCTCCCTGTAGCCCCAGCTGTCCTGGAACTCACTATGTAGACCAGGCTGGCCTTGAACTCACAGAGATCCGCCTGCCTCTGCTTCCCAAGTGCTGGGATTAAAGGCATGCACCACCACACCCGGCCCAAATTATTTTTTAAAGTTTATTTTATGTGTATGTGCATAACTAAGTATATGTATGTGTACCACATGTGTGCAGAGGCCAGAAGATGGTTTCAGATCCCTTCGAACTGGAGTTAACAGGCAGTTGTGAACTACCTGATGTAGGTGCTGGGAATTGAACCCAGGTCCTCTGCAAGAGCAGCAAGCGCTCTTAACCACTGAGCCAGCGCTCCAGCTCCCCAAATTATTTTTTTAACTTTTAAAAATAATACTCTTTTTTAAAGATACAGATATCTACAGGCATGCTAGTGGACGCCTTTAGTCCCAGCACCCTGGTTGGGACTGGGTCAGCCCAAGAGTTACTTAGCAAATGCCAAGTGGAAAGTGAGCCTGGAGCTGGAGAGTGAGCATGATTGTTTTAATGGAGAAACCAGAAAAGCTTTAGCCAAACGAGACTGTCTGGCTGTCAGTGGAGCGGAACAAAACAGGCATTTGCTTTTGTTCTTAAAACTTTTTCTTTTTTGAAAGCAGTCATTTGTAGTGGCTGAATGTAGTAGTTAAATCCATGTGTTGTAGCAATACTTGACATTGCAGAAGACTTCTGAGCATTGTCTAGTTTGAACCTCACGAGTACTACGTAAGGCTAGACAAACTGGGTATTTTCTGTGTTTTATATGTGAGAAAATTTCGGGGGAAAGTATCTCTCACGACATTGTACGAATTCTCTGTAGCTGGCGACTGATGGTGTTGAAGATGGTCTCTCTGTGCTTGAGGAACGCAGTCATTTCAACTCACAGTCCAGATTTAGAAATTTAAAGTGTGAATTGTTCTTAGAACTATGTATAAATTTCCTTTTAGAAAGCCCAAACATGATTTGAATAGTCTTTTTAATTACTTGGAGATGAGTTTTCTTGTTTTAAGGTTAATTTGGGGCTGTGGTTCTTGGCTAACTACTCTAGGACTTCTGCCCCTTTGAAATACGATCTATAATCCATGAACTCTGTTCTCAGAAAAGAGCATTTTGCTCATAATTACAGTTTCAAGTGTGTTACTGTGCACTCCGATTCCTTTCTGTAGTCGTCCCGGGGGCTTTGTGTTACAGGTCAAAGCTTTAATTCATACTGCTTCCTGATGCAAATCCGAGGAAAGATGTCTAGTTAGGAGAAAAAGCGGGTGTGGGTGTGGTTGTACACACCTTCAATCAGAAGCCAAGGCAGAAGCAGGCATGGAAGCCAACCTGGTCTACATAAGGAGTTCCAGGCCAGCTGGGATGACGGGGAAACCCTGTTTCCAAAAAAGAAAGGAATGTTTGTGTTATTTAGCTTGTGGCAGACTTTGTGTTTAAATTTATAACGTTTTAGGGTTTCTAGCAATATTTTTTTATTGATGCATTTCCTATGTTTTGCTTGTTTTTGTTTTTAGGTATGTGGTCCCTGTAGTAAATTATTTAATTATTTTCTACTATCTTTAAGTTAGGATACTTTGGGTTAGAAATTATGTCAAGCACATTACAATTTGGAGGGAAGTGGGGGTGCTGCTAAGGAACAAATCTTAGACCAGGCCTACTACTGAGCTGCATTCCCAGCCTGTATCACAAGGTTAAATTAACTTCATTTATAAATACTCCCATATACATGTAAATGTGTAGCTGCTACATTTTAGAAAGTGTTATTCTTTTCAACTTTGAAATAAAGTATGGTTTTTTCAACAGGAGAATCTTATTTATACTGCTGATCCAGAGTCCTTTGAAGTCAATACGAAAGATATGGACAGCACATTGAGTAGGGCATCCAGGGCAATAAAAAAGACGTCTAAAAAGGTACGTTTTAGTGAACTTACTGGATGTGTCTCTACAATGTTTCTCATACTACATTAAAGAACTATTGCCATCAACACTAGTTTAAAAAAATGGTCTAGGGCTGGGGAGGTCGGGGGTGGCTCTGTGAGCATAGTACTTGTGAGGACCTGAGTTCTACTTATTTCCAGAACCTAAAAAGACTGGGCTTGGAGATGGGCAGTTAGGATCCCGGCTCCAGGAAGGCAGAGTCAGGATTCCTGGCGCTTGCTGGCTTGTCAGCCTAGTCCATGTGATGAGTTCTAGGCCAGTGAGAGACCCCCCCCATCCCAGAATAAAGTTAGAAAGCACCCAGGGAACATACTTGAGGTTGTCTTCTGGTCAACACACACGCATACATGATAATCTGTAGAATAAAGCTATCTTTGGGGACTTTGTCACAGTTATTAAGAACTTGCTGTTTCATTCTTGTTGTAATAATGCTGTGAACCAGACTTCAGATGAAGTGTACTAGTTATGATAGGTGTGCATTCAGCTTGAATAATGTCTCATATTTTCCAGCAAGAGCATATGACTGAGTCAGGAAACTCAGGGTCTCTTCATGTGTTCCTCTTCTCAAGGAGGTGACTTCCTTAAGAGTTGTTGAGGACTGCATGAGTGTATTGGGAAAAGGGCCTTTTTGTAATTATTATTTTTTTCTTTTTATTTAATGTGTATGAGTGTATTGCTTGCCCGTAGGTAGGTGTGCGCATGTTGTGCAGTGCCTCAGGAAGTCAGAAGATGGCATTGAATCCCTTGGAACTGGAATTACGGATGGTTGTTAGCTGCCGTGTGGGTGCTGGGAATCGAACCTGGGTCCTGCGAATCGAACCTGGGTCCTGCGAGAACAGCCAGTGCTGAGCCATCTCTCCAGCCCCTTTAAAGGGCCTTTTAAAAGCAATGCAGCCTAGTGTGGTAGTGCAGGCCTGCAATCCCAGTAGAGGCGGAGGCAGGTGGATCTCTTGAGTTTGAGACCAACCTGGTCTCCATAGTAAGTTCTAGGCTAGCCAAGGCTGCATAGTGAGACCCTGGCTTGAAAAATACAGAATTTAGAGATCCAGAGGACATCTGCAGCCCTGTAGTGTGCTGTTGCATTTACAGGCTTTGCTTTGTTTCCTTTGACAGGGAGGCTGTGTGCTGACTTTATTTCTCCTCCATTTCAGTGTGATGTATAGTAGATACATATGCTAGATTTTGATTCAAACAGACTCCTTCACTTTCAGTAGAGAAATTAAGGTTCAAGTTTTGGGTTAAAGATTGCACAGGTATGCTGTGACAGCGGCAGACAAACCCCCAGATTTTAGCTGCAGATGTGGCTCAGTGGTTGAGTACTTACTAGCATGTGGCAATCCTGAGCTTCATCCTAGCACTACAAAAAAATAAAACAGACAAAATGAACTGCAGAGCCCTCTGATGTGTCTCACAGTCCAGCTTTCTCTCCGGTTCATCGCTCCATTGGGTTTCAGTGTGTCTGCATGCAAGAGGGCCTTACCGCTTACATGGAAGAGAACCGTGCCATGTACCAGTTGTAGGAAAAATGTGTTTGACCTTCGTTTTGTTTTGTTCTGCTTTGAGTCGGTCTCCCTGTAGCCCCAGTTGGCCTGGAACTGGATGTGGTGGCACATGCCTTCAGTCCCAGCACTAAGAGGCAGAGGCAGGTGGATCTCTGTGAGATTGAGGCCAGCTGGGGATACATAGTGAAACCCTGTCTCAAACAACCAAAACCAAAACAAAATTAGTCTACATGTAACTAATATTGACTCGTTTTAATTCTAGGTTACAAGAGCATTTTCTTTTTCCAAAACTCCAAAAAGAGCTCTCCGGTTGGCGCTTATGTCATCCCACAGCTCCTCGGAGGCCAGGAGCCCTCCCAGCAGTGACAAGCATGCAGTGAGTCGTCTGTCCAGCACATCATCCTTAGCTGTGAGTGTTCTTGATTTACTGAGCTAGAGGACTTACAGAGTTGGTAACTTAAAATGGAGAACAGTATTGTCTATGTTTTTTTTGTTTGTTTTTTGCTGCTGTTAGTAGTAGTTTTGTTGTTTTTAGTCAACTTTTTAGGTTAAAATACAAAGTGATGGATTTTTGTTTTGCTTTGATGTGTAAACATTTAGCCTTTATTTATAAAAGCTACTGAAGAAAATCTTACTGTTAATGAGCTGACACATGCTTGTTTATCCGAGGTGAAGTTTTGCTGGAATTCAGACATGTTCTAAGGGCCACTAGAAGCGAAGCTTGTTTCTGTCTGGCTTGTCTCTGCTAAGTGCACAGAGCAGTTCCAGCAACACTGCATTGAGATGTATTCCTTGTACAGTGTGCTAATGAAGAGGGTGCAGTCCCTGAAGCTGAACTTGAGAGGATTCTGTGGGATCTGAACTCATGTGCATATATTTAAGTGTTCCTAAACAATCCTCATTCACAACAGTGTTAGAATTACTAGGTGAGGGCATCTTGAATGTATTACATCACATCTAGTCTGAATGATATAGCTGTTCTTAGTAGGTTTTCATTAACCTACTAAGGGTTAACACGGGATCCAGAGTTCATGCCCCTAACTACTACCTAAACTGCCTCTTAGCATGTGGGCACATGCTGCACATGTGTGATTTTACATGTAACTTAGCTCTATGGGATAAGTACTATTGACCTCTCAGTCATAAAAATGCAGATAACTCAGAAGCTTGCAAGAGAGACTGAAGAGCTGATGGCCACTGCTTTTCTTATCCTTAGCAGTTTAGGTTAAAAAAAAAGCTTTTTATTAATTTATTTAATGTATGAGTGTTATGCTTACATGTATGTAAGTGCGCCCATGTTGTGCAATGCTCTTAGAGACCAGAAGAGGGTGTTGAATCCCCTGGAACTGGAGTTCTAGGTGACTTAGCCACCATGTGGGTGCTGGGATTTGAACCCTGGGTCTTCTGTGAGAGTAGCCAGTGCTCTTAACTGCTGAGCCATCTCTCCAACCTGAGACCTATCTTGAAGAAATAGCTAAATAAATAAATAAATAAATAAATGGAAAAAAAGAAATTTATGCAAAATAATTTTATTATTGATAAACAATGCAGAAAAGCATTCTTTTGTTAGATAATAAGCTTTCTCAAGGGAGAGTACTGTCGCTTGGTATTTTGTCTGTAGTGACTTAATATAAATGCCATTGCCTTTAAATGAAGGTAAGTGGGTTTTATAAGCTATAGGAAACATATTATTTGTAATAATATTTTAGACAACACACATAAGAATGTCTAAAATATCTTCAAGTCACTCATGTCCCCTTCCCAATTGCTTGTTTCTGTCCTAACAGATCACCTGCTCTGTTTCCACAAGCAGTGTGGTTGGCTGTGCTCGTGGTCCGTGCTCACACACTGCTGTACCCTCTCAGTTCTCCTGGTTTCCACCTGTGCGTCATTCTGCCTCCCGAGCTAGTTTTATCAAAGTTACTAGAAGGAAATTCTGATTTTTATTTTTTCAAGTTTCAAAAAATGTTCTGTCCAAATCACTTTGACGTTTGTGGAGTTAGGGGCAATAATGGAGCAATCCTTGTGACTGTCACTGTGAGCTTACTGGCTATTTGAGATTTGTTTGTGAGCCAAAAGGAAAGTGTTCTTTCTCCATTGAATCATTTATTAGGTGGGTTGGGACTTTTGAATTTACAGCTTTATTACTGCTTTGAATTTATAGTAACTAGATTTAATAAGCTTCTTTTGGTTATTGCCCAACAAAACTTTTTTTGTGTGTGTGAATAGTTTGCTTTTAAAGTCCAGAAGAATAAGTTCCATTAGAAATTTTCTTATTTATTTAAATTATCATTTAAAGGACACTGTTATGAAATGTAGATTTATATTACAAATTGAATTCTCACATTTATAGCTTCTATATAGCATGTACATTTACACAGTAAATTATAAAAGTTGTACTTGAAGATAAGTCATTATTTTACCACTTGAGTGGTAGTCCTGAGTTAACGTAGCTTCTTCAGTGTTTCACCTTACTCCTTTCTGATGAGAACTTAGAGCAAGTTACCTTGTAGGCCCTGAATTTAGTTACAGCTAGCCATTTGTCCTATGTACTTTGTATTGCTGTGATAAAAACACTGACTGAAACCATCTTGGCAGGAAAGGGTTTATTTGGCTTATAGCTCAAGGCAGGAGGAGCTCAGGCAGGAACGTGGAGGCAGGAGCCAAAGCACAGACCGTGGAGGAGCGCTGCTTACTGGCTTGCTCCTGTGGCCTGTGCTCAGTCTGCTTCCTTCCTTCCTTCCTTTCTTCCTTCCTTCCTTCCTTCCCTCCCCCCCTCTCCCT